TTCTTTATGCTTCAAAAGATGAATAGCAATCCATGTTGTGCTAAACAGCTCACTGGTACCTGAGCCATTAAACTAAACTGGGTCCGGAAAGTAAAGAAAATTGCCAAAGGTCTTCAAAATCTGAAAGACAAAATGGCCACAGAGCACAAGATGGCTTTTCAGCTCAATAGTGTCACTGATTCTAAATCTGTAAACAATGATGACTTTCAAGAAACCTAGAAAAAGCTTCACTTCAGTATTCTCTGTGTTTGACGGTTTGTTTTGGTGATGATCAACAGCATAAACATAAATATGTTCCACTCATCTGTGAATTAAACAAATGTTTTGGACAGAGTTTGGCCACTTTATATTTCAGACAATCTCATTCACATGTTCCTCTGATAATACAGCAATCCTTTCAAATCAAATCTCAAAGATTCACTTATATCAAAAAACATTTGGTTGTTGAATGTGTTCGGTCATATTTAATGAGAGACACTGTAAACATACAGTGACCATAGAAGAGACTGCGATCACACTGTATTCTTCTCACAAATATCAGATAATCTGTTGTATTTATCGGCAAAATAATCATTTGAAGAAAAACAGGTCAGGTTTGTAACCAAAATATATCACAGTCTGATGATGGGCATGAGTTTCTAATTAATTTCTCTTGATATTATAAACTCGGTCAATAGCAGTGAGGTGTTTAAAACTGAATCCTCATGTTTAGTTTCCTCCAAAAACCAAAATGAAGCAACATTAAACTCTGAGCAATAAAACTAAAAACCTACAGGTATAAGACAAAGCAAAGGGAGTTGCTTTCCACAGCAAAAGAAACTCTCCACACTGAGTCTGGTTTACTGACGGATCGACTCGCAGGCTTGATCTCCTGAGGTTTTGCGGGCATGAGAACTACTGAAAAACAAACGTGTGAAAGCTGAGCTGGTGACAGCAGATCTTCCTCACTCGCTCCATTACTGATGTTACTGTCCGTGAGGAGGAGCCCAGTGTCTGTGAGTCTCAGAGATGTTCAGTCAGTGGAAAACAGATCTCCAGCAGACGGGAGAGGAGCCAGACCGCCGGTGACGCTCGGTAGAAGAGAAAGATCTGGAAGACTCTGGATGTGAGACTTCAGCTCCTTCCTCACTTGTGTGACGCGAGCCAGTTTCTGCTTGTATTCCTGCAAGAACACCAGATAATCAAAGTGATGTGACATGTGGCCAAGTATGGTGACCCATACTCGGAATTAGTGCTCTACATTTACCCATCCAAAGTGCACACACACAGCAGTGAACACACACACGGAGCAGTGGGCAACCATTTATGCTGCAGCACCCGGGGAGCAGTTGGGGGTTCGGTGCCTTGCTCAAGGGCACCTCAGTCGCTGTACATTCACTCCCCCCACCTACAATCCCTGCCGGTCCAAGACTCGAACCCACAACCTTTGCGTTATGAGTCCGACTCTCTAACCATTAGGCCACGACTTCATTGAATGAATCAGTTCAAAAGTTTGGGGTCATTCAGATGTTTTTAAATAAATTCATACTATTTTATTAATCAAAGATGCATTAAATTTATCAAAAAGTGACGGTAAACACATTTATAATGTTACAGAAGATTTCTATTTCAAACATATTATGTTCTTTTGATTGACAGATTCATGCCGACTCTTTTCTCTTTCTATTAATTAAAGAATCATGAAAAATAAAATACATCACAACTTCCAAAAACACATTAAACTGTTTTTAACATTGATAATAATCAGAAATGTTTCTTGAGCAGCAAATCAGCATATTAGAATGATTTCTGAAGATCATGTGACACTGAAGACTGGAGTAATGATGCTGAAAATACAGCAGCGCATCACAGAAACAAATTACACTTTAACATATACTAAAATAGAAATCAGTTATTTGAAATTGTACTAATATTTCACAATGTTACTATTTTTACTGTATTTCTGATCAAATAATTGCAGCCTTGGTGAGCAGAAGAAAACTCACTAAGTTTGATTTACTCTCTTCCATGAAACACAAAAGGAAACATTTCACACAAGCTTGTTTTTAAGCTCGAAAATGAAGGAAAAGAATCATAGAAGTATGAAAATTATCCCAAAAGTTGTCCATATGACTTGGTGATATATTCAAAGTCTTGTGAAACCAAGACAGCTTTGTGTGAGGAATTTAAACCTGAATGAACCCAACTCAAGTTGAAACAAAATTACGATTTATTAGTGAATAATGATTTAATTTTGGTCTTTTTTGTCAGAAGATTTCCAAAAGCTTTGAATGTAGCACGCAAGTAATATGGACTACTTTTATAATACTATTTTGTTGCTTGAAGGTAAAAATCACATCTACTTTTATTGTATTGAAACCATCAGCTCTGATATTCTGCAGAAATTCTCCCAAGGAAGAGAGAAAATCAAACAGGTTTGGAAAGACACGAGGAGTAGATGATGATGGCAGGATGGTAAACTTGTCTTTTAACACATTTAGGAGTCTCGTACCTCCAGCTTCTTCTCCCTCTCGTTGAGCGCATCTCTCTGGCTCTGGATGTATTCTGTCAGCATTCGGGCCAGCTGTCTCCGGTCCTCTAACTCAGCGGCCAGGCGTCCGTTATACTCCGCCAGCAGCAGACAGGCCTCGTCCACCGTCTTTGACAGCTTATCAGCCGCCTGTTTATCTGCAGAGAATACAGAGTTTCACCAGAAAACCACTTCCTGTTAGACAGAGGTACGTTTCTCCAGTGAGACTCACCTGAGATCTTCTCCAGAAGAGAAACGTCCTGCACTTCCTGTGGAAGTGATGCGATCTTCTGTCTCACAGCAGCGTCACCGGACGCAGCGTTCTCTAGATCCTGCAGCGCTTTCACCAGCTCCTCCGTCTGTGGATCATGCCAGTCACACAAAATCTTTCTTATAAATCAGATTAGTTTCTAAAATCTGACTGGATGAACCACATTCAAAATGTTGGTAAAATGGCGCTATTCTATGGAACCTTAAAAAACAATAATAGAAACAATACCATAATTTTTTACCATAACTGATCTGAAAATCAAGGGTTACAATCACATTTCTTTGAGTAAATGGCCAAACTAAGGGGCTCATGGGAAAAAGTGTACTCTAATATCTAATATAATGTATATATAAAAAGTATAAATACTGGTAGTTGCTTTGAAACGTCAAGCAGTTTTAGCAGTGTCTTGCAATGTGATGTCAAATCAACTGCACGTGCTTTTTATATAAACATTAAATTACATTAATTATTAATGTTAATATATTTTCCCCATGAGTCCATAAAAATTCCATTTATTATTCAAAGAAGTGTGGTTCCTACCTTTGATTGTTGATAGTGATTGTTATTATAGAATTTTTATTCAATATCGAGATTTTAGATTTAAAATTATGTATTTATATTTGTATATTGCTATTTTTTTTATATTTTTGCCTTTACTAGTGCATTTTAAATGGTCCTGCAAAGTTAACAATAAAATAAAATAAATAAAAATACAAACATTCCATGTATAGTATAATAATAATAATTAAATAATTAAAATTAAAATGTTTGAAAAATTATTTAAAAAACAAACAAACAATATTTTATTTTAATTATGTTATTACAGACATTACTTAGACAGACCTTTTGTATTTTTATTTAATAGTTCAATTTATTTTTAACACTGCATTCAAAATGGACTAATAAAATCAATCATCAATATCATATCAAGAATCAGGGTTTAGAATCATATTTCTTTAGAGTAAATGTCATTCGTACCAGTTGTGGAGCAGCTGCGTCCGTCTCCTGGGGAGAATAGTGACCTCTGTAATCATCATCTTCCTCCTCCTCTTCCTCCTGGACCTTCTGGTAGCTTCTCTTCAATTTTTTTCTATCATCTGCTACAAAATAACCTGCAACTTTTACTTCACTTTACTTTCAAAAAGAGACGATTCAGTTCATGCATTCTACAGGACAGTAAACAAACATGCATTTTGGTGAAAACAATGCCTGATGAAGGTTGCATGACCAAAATGTTGCATTAAAATACGATTTGCAAGCTATAGCAGTGATGAAAACTGAAATAACACAAATTGAAGCATGAATGATGAAAACATATCACATAAATTAGATCTCTCTTATATCTGAGCTTCTTCGTTATCTAGATTGCAGCTCTGGTCACTCTGGACATTCATCTACCAACTTCATCAGGTGCATCTTGGGATGTTTTTAAAAACGTTTAAACCGTGTGCATGTATCGCGCTGACCTGCGGGCTTCTGTTTGGGGCTGTCTGAGTCCTCGATAGCCAGTTTGAGCTGCTGGATGAAGTCTGCACGGTAGAGGTTCCGCTCCTGCCAGATGTTCAGCAACCTCTCCATCTGCCTCTTAGAACCATCATCTCCGTCTCTGCCAGAGAAAGACACAGAATACATGTGAGACAGGACAGATTCATGCTACTGAACACATAAGCATATGTGAAGGTGCGTTTACCTGGCCACATGTGAGCAGGCATCAACCAGGACGCCCTCAAAGTCTTTGGCGAACTCAGGACCCTTTTTCTTACTGTTCTGAATCACGTCATTAGCCAGATACAGGAACGTCAACTTCCTGCTGCTTTTAGCTGAACAACAAACATTTCATTATTACTAACTTTAGAACAAAAACTTTTTGTGTGTTTCAGTTTTAATGTTTCAGCCTTTTAGCCATTTTGAAGGTTAACCTTGTTTACACAACCAGCATGCCTTGTGCAAACTAAACTAAACAAGTAAAGTTTGGTCTTACATTCCTTGATTCCCAGATCGGTTTGTTCCATTTAAAGCAACAGGTCAGCCAAAAAAAATTACATTTATTGTTCTCACCCTCAGGCCATCCAAGATGTAGATGAGTTTGTTTCTTCATCAGATTTGGAGAAATGTAGCAATGCATTTCTTGCTCAGCAATGGATGCTCTGAAGTGAATGGGTGCCGTCAGAATGAGAGTCCAAACAGCTGATAAAAACATCACAATAATCCACCCCCCTCGAGTCCATCAGTTAATGTCTTGTGAAGAGAAAAGCTGTGTGTTTGTAAGAAACAAATCCACCACTAAAGTGTTTTAACTTCAAACTGTTGCTTCTGGCCTAAATTTAAGTCCATAATCCATAATAACGCTTCCTCCAGTGAAAAAGTGCATCTCCTGTTGTCTCTCACATCAAAATCCATCCACATATTTATTCTGAACTGTTTTGGCTTGTAAACAGTTTTTAATTTGTGCAGATTTCTCTC